GTGTGTCAGAATCACTTGAAGTACTTAACAGAATGAAGGGTCCCAGGCTTCAGTAGTCTGCAATTTTAAAGATAAAAGCTCAGGTGATTTTGATGCAGGTAGCCTCTGAGGTCATGCTCAAAGAAGCACTGTACCGGTATATGCAAAATATTTACAGCAAAAGGAAAACAGTTACCTCAAATTCATAAAAAGATAAGTTATTCCTATCCAGGAATCTGAGGTCACAGGAATATTCAGGTTTTGATGTTATAAGTACATTTTACAAACCTATTCAAGTTAAGTTTGGTCGTCTAAATGGACATCTTGGAGGCAGATCCTCCTAAATAAATTATTTATGAACAAGTAAGTATTTTAAATTATTTGGAAATTCTTAGTAAATTCCTTTGAAATCTCAGGGTTATGTTTTAAAACAATCACAAAATCAAAAGGATCACAATTTGTACATGAAGACCTGAGAGCACTAACCACAATGGGAGTTATAAAACTATTTTTAATGTATGAGATGCTAAATAAAACAAATACATAGACTTAAACAAATTTGTACTTTCATTTGGAAATTTAGACTGCCTACACTCACAAAAAGGATAGTTAAATGCTAATTCATGTAACCTACAAACATCACCTAGTTTTGTAATCCAAGGCTATTTGCTATAAAAGCAGATCAAACCTACCAAGTGATATCAAAATACCTCTCTTCTACTTAGCACTCTCAGGCATTAGACATTAATATTAAAACATTTTCTCCTACAGAACTAAAACACAAATTTGGCCTAAGAAGGTTACAAATTTGCTTTAGATTTAATGCAGCACAATTTAAAAGTCTCTAAGAAATTTTGCCATTCTCGAGCAACAGGCCTGCCTTTAATGCCTCTGGAGATTTGTAATTCTCAGAAGTACCTGGTGTAGTAGTTCCCCAGAAATCCTCATCCCAAGGACAACATCTGTGACTCCACCCTCAACAGATTTCTAAAGGACAGCTCAAAGGAACATGTTAACTCACTCTCTAACCTTGAGTCAACTAGCATATGCCTGCAGGAATGGTTGAAAATCCAGAAATATACTCTAGGCTTTCACTGGGTTGTAACAGAAAGAAAGATAAAGACTCCCAGCTCATTACAGTAAAATATCCTGAAAATGCATTCAGACAATTTTTACCATTTATCCATGGCAAAGTATTGCTGAAACTAAGACTAATTTAGAGGTCTTTGGGGTGTGAATTTTTAAATGATTGCATGTCAGAAAGGTATAAAATGAAAGGGTTTCAAGGTGACTTTTTTATGTCTCAAGATGTGCATTTGTTACTCATGACAAATAGATAATTAAAATCCCCAGCCTCAGGGATATGAGAAATATAATCTTTTGGATATAGCCACTCTTGAAAGGATTCACAGTGAGTCACCGCTCATAGTATGAAACAATTTTCATTGGTTAGAAAGACTGAGAGGATAACTGTGAGCTAATTTTAAATAGCTTTTGGTCAATGGCAGAGGGTTGGAAGCATACAGCTAGCCATAAATCTTATTTTACAATAAACAATTTTATCACTTTCAAAATTCCATAAATATTTAATTTTAATTCTCTTACACACACATTCTAGTGGCTTAACAAAAGATAACCAAAAGCGTAATCATACATGAATATTTCTCCCAAATGAGTCTAATGCAAACAGCTACAGAATCATCTTTCTCTCTCTGTCTACCAAGTGCAATAAACTATACATTGGAATCAAAGTCTATTTTTATTGATAACTCTCATGAATCCATTATAATACACAAGTAAGAAAAACATTTTGCTGATACAACATGGTTCTTTCAAATAAAGAATAGGGATTGAAGAAAGAATTCAGAAACTTATAAAGCAGTGGACAGTATCAGAGGAATCTAGGCTCCTTGGTCAGCTTTTTGTACTGTTTAACCAAAGTAAAGTGGCCCTGTCTGTGTCACTATAATACCATGGAGAAATCTGGACAAAAAGGCCACCTTGCCAAGCTATCTCTCACAAAAGGTTTGTAAGTCATTTCTTCTCAAGTTCATTTATGAAATGTCAGCACATTACACATTTAAAGAACCACTATCAAAGTAGGAGAAACAGCTTCTCCTCAAGGTGGGTCAGGGTGCAGTTGCTTTTCAGACACATCGTACTATTATCTTCTGCAATAAGTGAAGAAATGGTCAACACATGTTTTGGAAGAAAATCCTTAAACAAGAAAATAAAATATCTTTGCCTATTTTCTTTTAGATTTGGAATTATTATTTTTTAACTAAGTGACATTTAATAGAAAATAAGGTAGAAATAGCAAATTTGAATGAAAGAAATTATTAAATTCTAAAAATTAGTTTGGCTACTGGGTTGTCAAAATTTAAAACACATGGCATATTGAAGTGAAGGATTTGAAGGAATTGGATTGTCTCATGTTATGGTTGACAGGGTTAAATAAGCCTTGGGAATATAATTTCTACTACTTATAAAAAATGTTACAGTCTTTAAAACCCAAATTCTACTTACAGGAATTAAACTTATTAAAATACGTGTGAAAGTTTATAGTTTGAAAAATTAACAATTGATGATCAATTTATATGATTAATTATGTAACAAGCATACGTCAGCACAATCCTGTACCAAAGATTAAATTAGGTCGTAACAATAAGAGGATGAGGCAAAGTGCTCCCCTCCAGATCATCTGGGAACTATCAGGGACTGGGAAAAGTACCTGGAAAGCAATGTGGCAGTAAGTGCTATAACACTAGTACATAAAACATCCCTTTACTTTTTCTGGAAAGACAGACAAGGTTGTGGTGAGAAAGGGTGAACAAAATAACATTTTTTTCAAGGGAATGGTAATCTTCTGGACAGACAAGGAGGATGAGATAGAAAGGAATTTCATGTCATAGGCAAACTCACTTTGACTTGAAGTCAAGGACTCTACTGTTTTCCTGTTTGAAGTTGAATTTCCATGTCCTTCCCACACTGCACCCCGCCACACACACACACACACACACACACACTTAAAAGCTGTGCAACCTTAAGTAAGTGGCTTAACCTCCATGTCCATGCTATAAAGTGTCAATAGTAACCACAGTCATTCCATGTGTTTCTTAAGATTGAATGAAGGTGGTCATTAACAAAAGCCTCAGCACAGTACCTTGCACATAAGTATATAAAAAATATTTGCTATTTTCTACTTATTAGTATTAAAGAACCCAAGGAGTACCTGATTTGTCCAGAAAATGGAAAGGAGTTTGATATATATTGAATAGCAAAATTACAAAAATTTTCAAGAATACAATAAAATGTAAATAGTTCCAAGTAAGTACAGGGCATTCACCTGAATAAATCTGATTTTATAATCTCAATCTCTCTCTCTCTCTCTTTCTCTCTCTCTCTCTCTCTCTCTCTCTCTCTCTCCTTTTCCTCAGTGCAGTATTACATTAAATAAACTCCTTCTGGCTGGCTGGCTGGCTAGCTGGACTCTCTAAACTTCCATATATATTACCATCATACCTAATGCTTTCTTCAAAGTCTGCATATTTTACTACACAGCAAAGGCTACCTCTTAGCCATTATCACACATCACACCTCAGCAGGGCTTTCTCCACCTCTATTATTTTTAAATTTTTCCCAAGAAGACCATGCTGTGGCATGAAAGGACCCTCCTTTACTTTTGCTGGAAGTGAGCTTCTGTTCATACTAAATGACTAAATGAAATTGGTACAATTTCATTAGAAACTTCCTTGCTGGTAAATTGTCCTTAAGGCTGTCACTCAGCAGGTAGACAAACGTGTGCCTGCAACATGGGCTACCTGGTCAGAATGAATTGCCAATACAGAATTGTTTACCAGATAAGAAAACAGTGCAGTCTCCTTAGTAGCAATAGAAAAGGAAAAAGTCTGGGGGTTTTGATTTTTTGTTTCTTTTTAATAGAAAATTACCTGGAATTTCTTCTTTTTCCCTTCTTTATGTGTTCTCCCTTCTACATTACTTATTTTTACAAAAACCAATCTCTGTAACTTGGTCCCAAACTTGACTTTGCTTATGTCAAAGTAATTATCAAGTCTTCTATATGTAAGCTCATTAGTTTTGATGGATTAGAATGCCACAGGGAATGATATGCTTTTTAACATACGGAAGAGAATTGAGATTTGATGGAGTACATAAACTGTAAAAGCAGTTTCAGGTTCCAGGAATGAAACAATGCCTATGCTAAGTTAAGTTGTGTGTTCATCTCAGCACAGATAAAACTAACCAGTTTCACACAATTGCCTTAGGAGAAAATGTAAATTATGATAACCAGGTAAGCAAAGAGAAATTTCCATGTCCTAAGTTGTAGCTTGTAAAATTAAAACTATAACTGGAAATGAAAGAGTAAAAAATACTAAAAGAACTGTTTGCTATTTCGTTTCAAAGTACAATAAGTACCTTGAGCTTATTATTTCATTTGATGAGTGTTCAAAGGAATAACTGATTTTTACATTATAAATCTAATAGTGAAAGTAACACAATATTACTATTACCAATACAACTAAAACAAGATTGATAAATATTTTGTCCAGAACAGTCTTATCCTGTAGATATTTATATCTGTCTCACAGCTCAAGCTTTTCATAATGAATCACATTCCAAAGAATATTAATAAAAGATATACTGGCATATGTCGAGGAAAAAAATTGCTGATGCTTGAAGATATTTTCTATCAAAAGTTAAATATGGTACAATGGCCATTTTTTAGAGCCATTAATGAAATTTGGAAGAGATTATTAATCTCCAGAGTGTTAAATTGAACTTGCAGCAAAATTGATCAAGTTTTCCTGTCTTGGAAATACCCTATGGCTATTATTGATCAAGAAGTTGGCACAGTGATTATAATTCATATCTAAACACAAAGATTGTGAGACAGAAATTATTTTTAATATCTTAAATTCAAAATATGCATACTACTCAGCTTAATACAGAAAATCTTACAAGCAAGAGTTTTTATTATGAAGATCCACAGTGAAACATACCTGGCCAGGCTAAAGGCATCGTCAATCAAACCTGCACGATTACTGACAGAAAGAACCTATGAGGCCAATCGGGGGGGAAAAAAAAGGAATCATTAAGGATTAAAATTACAGGTGTTCACATGTCAAAGCACATTGCTTATGAGCAAGTCTAGAATATACCTCATGGTTCCTGATTAACTGATCAATTAATAACCTCCAGTTCCTCAGGTCATAGTTGACTCTGAAGTAACCCGTTTGATTGATGTTCCCCAGCAGCCAGCTTCCCTTGTCCAAATAAGCTATTCTGTGATGCTCTGAAAACAGCATTTTGAGAGTAAATAGATTTAGAAATTTAAGAGTTAAAATGGAATCAAGTATGTTTTCTGAACACAAGATGTTAACAAAACCAATCATTAAAAAGAAATGCTATCCTAAATATCTCATTGAAATCTACTCTTCAATCATTAGCATTTAGAATTGCTGAGAAAAACTTTTAGATGGTTACTCATTATTATCTCAGTTAATTATTTTCTTATAACAAATATTTTTGTTCTTGACAAAAACTACTTACCTATAAAATATTTTCTTTCTCAAAACAAACGTAACCTAGAAATACACTATTATATTCATGCAGCTTTCAATTAGGTTGTATGTGCACGTGCAGCTAAAATTAAACTGTGTTTAGATACATATTCTTCTTATTTTAATTGTCAGAAAGTGATTAGAACAATGCAGCCCATTTACTTAGAAGTCATCATTGTCTCCTGCCTTTTTTCTCTGGCTTTCATAGGACTACTCATAAACAACACACTTCTCCACATCATCAATAATGCTAGAAAAAGGAAACCACATTTGTTTAAGACTCTAAATTTCCACAGAGACTTATAAACAAAGGTAATAAATTCTGCTTATTGAAATCACTTTGGAAAATGGTAATATATTTTTTACCAGCTAATTCAATGAACAGAAGCCAGTAAAAAATGATATAACTTCTTATATACTTAACTTTTTCAAATATGGTGGAGAGAGTGACCTACATTCACATGTAAAGTCAACCTTTACTGACATCCCAGAGGGAGGGTTATGATTCCAGGAATTTGGGTGTTAATCTTCAGGACTCATGCCTCTCAGAATTTACACTATGAAGTAGACTTTAGAAACTTACATGCATACACACATACACACAATCTGACATCCAGGAAGAAAAAAAAAATTAAAACCAGACTATTATATTTAATTTCTACAATAACTCAAAATCATAGACTGTACCACAGAAGCCAGTTGACTCATATCTGAGTAACAGACACACCTTCAGTTCTTACTCCATTATCAAGATGTTAGCACATCAGAATACAAAACAGGAAATACAGTGTCCTGCTTTATTTCCTTGGAAGGAAGGAATTTACAAAGGACTCTCTCAAGGAAAGGCCACACAAGGAAGGGTTTACCACAAGAACCACTGGTGGACATTAATAACCGTTTATTTCTCAGGCCTGTAATAGGGTGGGCTATTTCATACAATGTACCTAAGAGATTGCTTATTTTCAAAAGTCTGTAGTAAAACAAAAGTGCTTAAACCCCAATGTATATTAAATATAAAACTTAATGTTTCAGATATTATTCAGCTCTCAGTACCTTTAGAAACTGTGTTCATTGAAACATATAAAGAAAAATGGTTCCAACAGACAAATCAGATTGACTACTAGAAAATAAAAATGGTTTCTCAAGTCTTTGAAGTTTCACAAACACATATTTTTAAACTTTTAACGTGTCATCCACACAAGAAGTTTTAGAATGTCACCTCAGTTTACAGATGCAAAAATTAGAACCAAAGTAACAAGAAAACATGATGTTTTAAAAAACTAAAATAATATTATAAGGAGAGGTTTTGATTAATCATGCCTGAATTCCTGGAAGAAAATTAAAACTTAAATATTAAAAATATTGTTTCTTCTGAGCAATCTTAATTTCTTCAAGTATACTAAGCTTTTCATTACAAAAATAATAAAATTGTGATTTAATTCACCTAACTTAAGAGCAAATTTGATAATTTTCATTTAAGAAGTGTTTTTTTTTTTTAAATTAGAATGTTAAAGCATCAAGTTCAATATATGAACACATGATTTAGATTTTTACAAATCTGCCGTGGTCATGAATTCCTATAATATTAAATCTATCCTTCAAGTTACTTCCTATTCACTTATTAGATAGCTGGCTTATGTTAAACCCCATGTGATTCATTTGGCTCTATTTTTTTAACTTATTCAATTCAAAGACGTACAGGAAGGATATAGTCAAATTAAAATCAATATGTATGTTAAAATAGGAAAACAATCCCTATGCTTTCTATATCTTCTAACCAGAATAAGCAGACAGTCATCTATTGTTTTTAAGTACACCATTATTGAATTTATAACTTAAACCTGAAGGTTATTACTATTCATGAATATTTTTATGCCTTTACTACAAATGAGATCTTTGAAGAAATGGTTCCCTGAAAGATTTTGTAATAGATTTTTAAATATCTTTTCAGTTCTAGTTAATTATATCCCTAAAATGTTCTTCAAATTAACTAATGGCAAGCAATGCATTTTAAAGAGATCTTTTCCAATGGTCTAATGAGGTATCATATTTGATGAGTACATAATAAAAAGTATGGAGGTTATATTTCAAGTGTTGGTAATAATAATTAAAAATTATATTTATATCCAAAATGGTCTGATTCAGACTACATCAAGGCACAAAGTAGTTGATATTTTATAAGATTTTTATATTTTATACATTTTTAGAATAAAAAGAGAAATGAAATTAGAAATTTATACCAAATATTTGCTGGTTGTATAACAATTTGAATTAAAATAATAATAACAATAATAAGGGTAACAACATGGGACAAACACACGAATAATAACATATATTCATTGCCTCACTGGACTATTGTGAAAACTGAATGAGATCATGTTTTGTGGAATCTTTAAAGAACTATGTGAACATATCCAAAAGCATCATAGTGAGTAACTGACAGATTTTCAAAGAAACCTACCAAAGTACTTAAATTCTGTGTGTGTGTATGGGGTGTGTGTGTGTGTGTATGTGTGTGTGTTTGTGTGTGTGTGTGTGTGTGTGTGTGTGTATATATAGTTAAGGGCAGAATAGAGTAAAAAGAAAAAAAAGGAAACTAAACTCCTAAATTTAAACTAAACTCCTAAGATAAAAAAGCAAGCTCCTTATCTCACTAACTGACTGTCACTGGGTAAGTTATTTCTGAAACCTTAATTTCCTCAAATGTAAAATGTAGATAAAGACAATACTCGTTTTTTAATGGTTTGTGAATCTTAAATGAGTCAATGTTTGAGGAAATCACCACAGCATTATGCTATTTTTAATGTTTTACATTAATTTTTAAGGATCAGTTTCTTTTTTATTTTGAATCTTTTCTTTTCTAACATTTGACGCTAAATTTATTTCCCTTGATGCACCATTAATTGAACAGCCAGTCAATATGCAAGCTACCGCAATTATAAATGTCTGAATACTTGGTATTTTCCTAGTAAGAATGAAAAGGATATTTCAACCTGATCTTAAAAACTTAAAAAGTGTTTTAAAAACTACTTTTAGGCTACAATGATCTTTGCCTTAACTTGGAATTAGATATTTATCCAAAGTGTTTTAAAAAACAAATTGCCAAGAACATATGATTAAAATCAAATGTATACATCTTATCCACCAAAGACTTTACCTTAATATCTTATGAGATAAAATCTGTATTATTACTGGCAGTGAAAATTACCAAAAAAAGATCAATATGGTTAATATAACTAAATGTATAATTTCTTTTCATATATGTTGATAAGAATTGACCAGAATATTTCCTTCATGTTTTTATGGAGGAAAACATGAAGTAAATACTGATCAACTGGTACTATTGATTAATTGGTACTGATTATATTTTAAACCAAAGGTAACATGACAACTTATAATAGGACATAAAAGTTAATGTCTTACCCCCCAAAACTCTTTCTGGTATTAGTTTTATTATAGGTCATCAGAATGAAAACTTCAAGATAAAACTGAATATCTAGGATATAATTGAAAAGGCAAAACAAAGTTTTCTTTTCTTTTAGGTCTCTCTTGTAAAAGTTCTTCCAGATTTTTTAATCTATCAAGTTTTAGGGAAGCATTTACTTAATATGAGTATCCCCCCACCAAGCCTCAACATTTCAAAATGTTCATATCAAACAGAAGATGCTGTTATGATTTAATGGACCATAACACACTATGCTCTGCAGTTTGCATATTGTATAACTTTGGGGGGAAGAGGGGTGTGCCATTCATGCCATAGTCTAGGCAAACAGTGCCTCCTAGAATTATGAGCTTCACAAATTGTGCAGCTGTGTGTGATGTCATATATATCAATACAGGCAATAGTTTAGGAGGCAAGCATGGTTTGAACTAATACACTGTTATTATTCCTGACTAACAATGAAAGGATATAAAAAAAAAAAAAACAAGCCCTCAAACATAGCCAGTAGTGGCTTTGGGTCAAAGAAAACTGTGACACTATTCTCAATTCTCGGTGGGATAAGAAGATACTATGAATAACACTACGGAAATAACTAGAGTTAGAGGAAATGGTCCCGAGAAATGGATGCTACAAGAATCAGACTTGCACTGACACTGTCTGCAAGTGACGTGTTGGGCCACTCCTGATGTTTGATCAATATGCCTTTATACTTTTTAAATTTTCTCCATTTTCATTCTACCTTAAAAAGATGAGTATTTTGCTTTATTTCTGAAGATAGTTCTATCTCATGCTCCTGGCTTTCCTAGGGTGGCATAATTTCATTCTAATAGTTGGAACTTTACAGTAATTGTTTTCATCATTTTATAACAGATTACATAGGTAAATAAAACAACCACATGAGTGGAAAAGAGAGGTATACAGACAAATAATAGAGTAGGTATAAATTCAGAATCATGCAATGAAACTATAGATTCTGATTATTTAGAAAGATAAATATCAATAAATGTTAGAGTAAGTACTTTAATGTCTTATTAGACTACACATGCATGTTTTATATATGTATCAATTCTAAAGAAAAGGGGGAGAGTAAACAATATCATTGAATGTCCTTCCTTTTTCCCAAAAAACCTCACCAAGTTAAAGGAATACTGAGAGCAAGCTTGGGTTGGAAAGTCCAGGAACATATTATCTTGAAGAACACTGGATACATTTTATGCACACTAGGAATTATGGTAAATTAGTGTTAATCTGTAGAAAGCTACTTTCTTGCATCTGTGCCAAGACAGTTGTTCCTTGGGATGCTGGCCATGCAAGCTAACTAAGCAAACAATGCAAGCTAATGCTGATGCTGTCATTGCTTCCGCAGCCTAACATAAAACCTCTATCCCACTGGCAGCCAGGGGGGTGCTGAGGGCACTATGGAAAGGATATGTGTCACTCATCCAACCAGCAGCTACTGGACAAAACATCATGAGGGAGAGGAGGCACTGTTTGGAAAAACACCTTGAAGGACAGAAGTGCTATGTGTCGGTCTATTATCACTGAAGTCTTCTAGGAGCAGGCACTAATCTCTTGCAAGCTTTCCTCAATAAATCATAAGTACCACTTATGGGCACTTTCTTTGGCCTTCTGCAACCTAACCTATTGCCCTTGCACAACTGGGCTGTGGATCCGACCACATACAACATGTATAAGTTAAAATACATATTTTTATAATATGTGATTATGTATTAAGAAACATTAAAAATTTGAGTAAAAATACACCTGGAATTCCAAGTGTTTATACTTCTGGCAAACAAATTATATTTTGCTTTAAAACTTGTTTCCTATGTGTATTTTAAGCATTTTAGTCTCCCTTATAATAGCAAGACAGAAGGAAAAAACAGCTGTTTATTTATACCTCACCTTATTGAAAAACAATTGTGACTGTTTAAAATGATGTAAGGTAACATCAATTAACAGTATGTGAGAAAGGAATAAGGAAAACAAAATATGGACACCCTTGACCATCTAAATCTAAATGAAATGTTACATAAAAGATGATAATTGACTTTTTCTCTAACTCAATGGAAAACAGAAATAAAAGGGACCTGGTTCACACTCTAGCTTGAAGGATATAGATTGGATTCGAGAAATAGGTTTCTGACAGTGAATTGAAATAGATCACTATCTTATTTGAAGATATTTAGAAAGAGAATAGAATCTCATCTCTCAATGCTCCTTGAGGTTTGACCCAACCTAGGAGATGGCTAGATGCCATGTAAAAGCCCCTCCCTCCTGGCCCTATAATTATCTAATTCCATGGAGAATATTGCCTTTCTGGTCCCTTAAAGAGACAGTCTGGTAACTAAAAGGTAGCAGGAAAATGGGATTAAAAATTAGGCCTACATTTTAGTATTTGAAATAATGTTCTACTGGGAGTTATGATTATATTTTAATTACACTTGGAATTACAAAATTACACAGCCTAAAACAGATAATATTAATTCTACAGATACTTCTTTTAAAATTTTCTCTTTACCATAAAAGAAACAAATATAAAATTACCCAGGAAGCTTGAAATTAGACTATTATTCTATATTATACCTAATTATTTTTTAGAAGTGATTAACATTACTTTCTCAATATAATTTATTTTTATTCACATTTTATAACAGCTAAAACTAGAGGTTAAGTTGCCAAACAATTATCTGAAACCAAAGAGTTCCTCAGGGGACAATATATATTTTACCTGATTTGTTAGACACCCAAATAATTGCTTCTGAAGACACATGGCTTCTATTTCCTACTACAATAGTTAATGGAATCTGCCACAGGTAACTGAAAAATAAAAGAGAAGCTTTAAGAATAAAATATCTACATCCAAACAAAAATAAACAACATTTTCTATCTACCTTATATATGATTTTATTACTCTCTTCAGTAAAAACAAACAAGTAAATAAGTATATAAATCCCAGTTAGAAAGACAAAAATAAGTCAAAAAGATGGGTTTATTATTACATGCCATTAAGAAGACTTGACTTTAAAAAGTTTTGGTTTCAGTGCATAAGAACTGCCAAGAAATACTTTATTTTGCAGAAAAAAACCAGATTTGCATTTTAAAAATAAAAGTAACTATATTCCAAAAATCTGAACCACATTATATATTGATTAAAATCTAAAAATAAACCCTTTCAACTTTTTCTATATTAGATTAATATAAATTTCAGTGGTTTCATCATTTACACTTTAAAATTTTCCTTAGTTATTATCTAACAATTCTGGTAACACTACTAACATATATTTAGAGAGAGAATAATATGACACATCTAAAGAATAAAGGAAGAACAAAATTAATTGGATTTCCCCAAAATCCAGATCAATACCAAAAACACTGTGGGACATACTTAATACTCTGTTTCCTGAAATGAAATTTCCAAATTGATGTGTCAAAGCATCTATCAATATGCAGGGTCACTCATGAATCTCAACTATTAAAAAGAAGCATTTTTTTACATTTACCTTTTTATAGGGTAAAATTGATATCTAGGCTTGTACATGAATTAATATCAATTTAATCTCAAAGAGCACCCAGAGATTTGCTGGATGGTTTTACAATAAGCCCAATGACTAGACTTAGCTTTCTTCCTTGAAATACAGCTTGATTATATTGATTTCTCCACTGCACCATTAGCAACAGGGGTATCCAATAATTACAGTATGGGAAAAATAATTTTTATTTTAGAATGATATTGTAAAGATACAATAAGTAAAGATATTGTGTGAGTTTAATATCTATGAGAATAAATGGAGAATGGAACACTTTTGAGGGATCATGCTTGGCATAACATTGAAACAAGATCATGTCTTTTTTGAGGGTGGGAGAAAAGGGTGTCTCCACTGAATCCATCATGCAGAATTTGGTTATTTGATCAGTTAATTGTTTCACTCATTATAAAAAGAGTTCTGTGGTACAAAAGAGTCTGAATAGAAGACTGGAAGAAATTCATAATTGTATATCAACTGTTATCTCCACTATTGAAAGTTAAAAAAACACATTTAAGATTCTAAATTAGAAAACTATATATTATACTTAATTACAGAAATATTTTTGAGTGTCAACTATTCAGAGACACTATGCTATACTACAATGGACTCCCCATGATTGGTCAGGAAGTACTTTATGGTAGTCATTCTTTAGATAGTAAAAACTTAGTGAGAAATTACCCATGTAAGTTCTTTAATAAATACTTTCACACTTCCAACAAAGAACTAAAAATATCTTACAAATATTTAATGATAGATTTATTGGAATAAAGATACAAAAAACTGATATATTTCTTTAATAGCTATTCTTTAAAGATAATGAATCTCTTTTGATTAATTGTAATAATTAGACAACAATGTCTCCAGTTTGAGTCTAATTCTCAAGTTAAACTACAGGGTCATTGAGAAAAGCTATGAAAGAGGAGTTGTTTTATAAATCACTGTTGAATGTGTTAATATGATTGAATTGACTTAGATTAAAGGAAAATAAAAAAGGCCAGATTAACCTATAAGTAAGACAAAAATGCTCTTGGGCTGGGATTATGGCTCAGTGGTAGAGCACTTGTTTAGCATGGGTGGGACCCAGGTTGGATTCTCAGCACCACATAAAAATAAAGGCATTGTGTTGTGACCATCTACAAAAAAGATTCTCTCTCAAAAAAAAAAAATGTTCTTTATGAACTTCACATTTTTGTATGCATCTTCCACATTGAATTGGGTCAAGCAAAATGTGAAGTCAGATAAGTATTAGTTAAAGAGCAAGGAATATAAAAAAATTAGGAGAATTAAAAAATCATTAAGGGAAAATATGTCTTTTTGTAGCATGATCCAAAAATGTTTGTGAAGCACTGTGTGCCCCTAATACTTGTATTTGAACTGTATTATTCTAAATAGCCAGAGATCATGATAAAAACTGAGATGTTTCAATATAAATTTTCAAAAAAGTCTCTAAGGTACAAGAAAATGAGATTCATATAAATACTTGCATGATTCTTACAGTCATATCATATGCATAGAGAAAATTACTTAAATAAGCAGACACTATCGCACAGCTGCTGTGATATAAAAAAAGTTACCTATTATAAGATTTTAGAACACAAAGTTGGGATATTTTGTAAAATTCTTAAAATAGACGTTTATGTTTTCTCTAAGGAAGTTTTTGTACCCTACACAAAATCTATACAAGTGACAAAGATAAATTGTTACAAGTTACCAGGCAGATCTGAAATTTTGTATTCATTTCAAAATTGTTGGACATGTTGACATCCTGTTATTCTTCATAGCTTTTTAAACAAAACATATTTAGTCATTTTATAAATTTCATTTTAAAAGCAAAGAAGTCATAATAATCATGATGGGATTTGTTTTGTTTTGTTGTTTTGCTAAAAGACTAGAGGACACTCAACAATATTGAGTAAAGGGCCCTGTATGGTATGCTCTAAAGAAATCAGTCTTCAGTGGGTTAGCTTAAAAAGAGACTAGAAAAAAGATACTGTGAGAATGGATTGTGTTTCTGCCTCTTTAATTTAATTCAAATTTTATTTATTTCATTTAACCATTAAAAAACCTTAAAAATTAATTTCAGAAGACCCTAAAACCATTTATTTTCTTTAATAGTTCCAGGGATTAACTGTCTTCATTATCAGTTTACATTTTTATAAAAAGCAACTTTAATTTTAAGGATTACATTAAAGTAGAAAAGAATGGACATATATTTTAGCTGAGTCAGGAACCTTTTAAAAAATAGTATCAACATTAATGAAGGATTAGTGTAAAGCTTATGAAAAACTAGAGATTGTTACTATCAGGCCAGTAAGACATGGGAAATGTAAACATGCAGGTAAATAGAATTCTCTATAACACAAAACTCTTAGAAGCTCCTCTGTGGTTAAGGAAACGTTACATAACACTATAGGGAAGTAACTTTATAAAGAAAAAGGCTTCACCAATTCACCACTTCCCAAGTACCACATTCTATTACATTTTTACACTCTGTTAGATATTCATTAACTTTGTGCAGTTATTGGTTAAAGATCTTTCCTTTCTCTGCTGCAATACAATTGTCATGTATGAAAAATATAATTACTGAACACATTAAAATGTTCTATGCATGTCATACTTATGTTCTGGTATCCTCTAAAAAAATGAAAAAAAAAAAAACTGACTCTCCTGGTTCAGAAAACATCCATAATTTAAAAAATTTCTGGCATAGATAGGTATAGGTTTTATTGCATCAACTGTGTGCATCGTGTATAAAGACCTAGGAAAGCTATGTACAAAAGCCAGACAGAATTATTATTGAAGCTTTGACCAGAATGTCACAGTGAATTAAAGATCAATAATGTAAAATTGGAATACTACATTTGCCACTACAAGCTCTATTATTTCATAATATATAAACTCATTTTTGAGACTAATAAGATGCCCTGTATGATCATTCTCTTAATACTTTCTATGCCAATTTCTCAGAGTTCAAAATAATCCATATGATTTTAAAACAGCCAATGTGAACCTCTAGATACTACATATACAGCCTGGGAAAAATTTTTCCCAGACTCACAGCTGATATACTGATGTATATTATAGGTTCACAAAGTATTTTTGTTCAAATTTTTTTGCTGTCATCTATGTGTCTTTTATGTTTTTCTGCATCAGTGATGCTGTGTCAGACTCAGCATCCTTGAAGGCCTGGCCTGAGTATCTCCAGCTTTGCCACAGTCAAGTAGTTTTTACGTACTTCCTGGCGAGACCAGGGTTGATGCTAAAGCATGTTTAGCCTGGGGCCAGATGGTGAAGGATTAGAAGTAGCACTTGGCAGCTGTGGGGAATCTGAGCTGGGGAGAGCAGCCTTGATGGGCAGACCCAGACAGCACTGACAGTTCAGCAGGGTGATGTGGGATTACAGGAGAACAGAGAGTGGGGAGGCAGAGGGCAGTGCCTCGAAGTGTATGTGTGTATATTGAGAAGGTTTAAGAAGCTGCTGTCCTAAATCATATTCCAAATGTGGTCCCAAGAAAATATTAATGAATTTTTCAATCACTTCTCTGAATATCCAGAATTGGAGGTAGCTAACTTAGGAACGATTTCCACTCCTCTTAGAGATAACAAAGTAAACTCTGCTCCTGGTCTCTGATACTGGTGGTTGATGAAGTCAGACTCCTAATTTTCCAAGGTAATGGGAGACAGTACATGGTTAACCTAACCCAGGGCACCTTAGAAAAAACTGAAACTGACTAATAAAGTTCTACTATCATTCATTGACTCAGCCTTTAAAATGAGACACAAAATAAAAAACGTAAGGTAAAAAAGAAAACAATCCTACACGATGAATTATCAGGTATTAAGTTAGAGTTTCAAAAGAAAGGTAAAATAACAACAAATCAATCCATGTATGTTGTCAGTTTAGTGGTTTCAAACACTAAAAGCGAAGGAAAGAGAACTTATTTTTTATATGGAGCGTCATTCATATTTAGATCATTTTAGGTATTCTATTTTAAGTTCCTTTGACTCAGACATTATTTAGATTTTCATTTGCTTTAATTGGTTTTTTTTTCTGGATTGTTAGTTTCCTTTTTCATTTGTCTTATAAATCTCATGGTTTTCTCAAAATTCATTGCAACACACCTTTCTTGTATTTAATTCAAGAAATATTCAGGAAGAAAAGTAAAAAATCACATCTTAATTTTTATACCATCATTTATAATTAAAAATTCCATTTTCTGAAATAAATAATGTTGTCATATTGAGGGTTAAAATATCCATAAAATGGAAGTAAAAAGAATCAAAATGAAATAACATGCATAAAGAAATAAATTAAAATTATATTTTACTTATAATATTTCAGAATGTATTATCAATGCTTTTTAAATTATTAAAAGAGCAATGTGAAATATAAAAATAAAAGCATTTTTTCATGTAAAAATAGAGTGCTCTACCTGTTATTTTGGCGTTCAAGTGATTTAGTTTTAGCACTGATATCATAAATAAAATGTTGTTGGTTAATTATTATTCTATTTTCTGCTGTTGTATTTCCCAAGATGGTGATAACAGGATAACCCATCTGGAGTGTCCACTGATCCATTACTTCTTGTATATTTACATATTTTCCATTCCTTTTCAAAGCCTTTACAACCAAAATTGAATAAATTAGTTTCATAATCATGAATTATAAACATAATTAACATTAAGCCATTTTAATTTTTACCTTTTAATTAATTTTCCTAAATATGAAGACATTTAAATTCAGTGACATTAATATAAGACATGTAAAATTAATCTTACCATAAATTATGCTTTCTATATATGTATATATGTACATGCATGAAAGTTGTATTAACATTAAAGTCTATACACACCAGAAAATAAAATATACTTTATTGTTAAAGAAAGTATTTGTAGCATCATTTTCTATCCTTCAAATGTCTACAATCACATAGAAAAAATATATTTGAAACTTCAGGATGTCTTTAACATGAATCTCTGATATTACATTAGAGTCACATTTCAGAAATATTGTCATATTGAAAATAGGCAAGGTATCTTTATCACTTCTTGTACTTTAAATAATTTTGAACCATTGATCATTGTAATATATCAAACTAAAACAGGAAGCAATATGAAGAAAATGGAAATAAAAAAGTAAAGACAAACTGTCAGTGTCAATAAAAGTTAATAATGGCTTATATACTCAATTCAAATGTTCAAGTAGACATTTTGATATTTGAACTTCCTATACTTTACCTCTGATAATGTATTCCAGAGATCATTTCTCGCTGCATTGCCATACTTATGAATGGTTAAATAATCCTATAAGAATATAAAATTGTAATTACAATTCAAAGGCTAAGCAATTACCAGTAAACACATTTATTTCTCAGTTCAATTAACCATTTCTCTATTTTGAAATTACATTAATACAAAGAGAAAGACATGCAAAAAAATGAAGAATCTGTTTTAAAATATTCCAAAAAGATTTAATTATAACATATTTCCTAATTAAATCACCCAACAATATTCATCTCTTAAAAATGATTTTTCAGGGCTGGGGATATAGCTTGCCTCGCATGCACAATGCCCTCAGTTGGATCCCCAGCACCACAAAAAAAAAAAAAAAAAAAAAAAAAAGATTTTCATAGATGTAATCACTTCTTATGGATTTCCAGGATCAAAGATTTTTTAATTGAGCTGGTCAACCTCAGCCAATTTTGAAGAAGCAGTTTCTGCAATGAAATAAGGACAAACTGTCCCATCAAGTTTTTATGTTGAATTGTTGAAAAGGAAGTATTTTAATGGGGAAAAAATCCCTAGCTAATGTATGCTGATGTTAAGAGGGATTATTTGCCAAAAGGGTATATTCTCTACAATTCCCCCGTCTCTCTAAAAAAGAGAGGCAGTCTATTACAAAAATGATAAATATTTATTTCCATGAGTTTGAGACACACATTAATATCTAATAAGAAAGTTATTCCTAAGTTTATTTAATATTTTTAGGCTTAGGACTTCTCATTTCTCATTTTCAACCATTAGTGGCTAAACCTACACACTTTCTGATTCATGCCTGCCTTCCTTCAAAGAAGTGTAGTTTGTCTCATTATCAATGTGTTATTCAGCTATGGCTACTTGGCATTATATTTTTATGATTTTTTTTCCTGACTTCAAAGTGGAAAAATGAAAATAGTGTTTTATTTTGTACAGCTAAAGTCCTCCTCCTCCATTTGAAATTCTATTTTCTCTACAACATGTAGGTAGTTCACAAAAATTCTAATTTACATCAAAGTACTGAAACTTGGAAAAAAAATGCTGACTCCTTTCAGTACTCTATAGAGTGGAGTATTTTGGAGATAATTAAAGTTAGAGAAGCAAATTTTCTGAAATACAAATTGGAGCACCTGTGACAGATTCTGCTTTTGTTGGCAATTCACAGCACAGCAAATGGTGACTCCCACTTAATCGGAAGCCTAGAGATTCAATGTCCAATCCCAACATAGCAACCACAAATCCACCATCGTCATCAGGTGTTATGAATAACTGCTAAAAAACACAGCCTTTTATAACCAATCTGAATCCCAATTTGGCTCTCAGCATGCCATATGATGCTTTTTCCACATAAACCCAGGAACCAGAATTTAAATAAATTGTTTTGGATTTAACTTTGAAAATTATTCTTTATAATTTTTTAGCACTTGAATGAATTTAAGAACAATGAAACTCAAGAAATATAAATTAACATTTTATGTTAGTGATGCCCTAACAAAAAGTATTAAAATTAAAATAATTTACAGTTGGTTCTATGTATGAAGAGTGCCCCTAAGGCTAATGCAAGAAGGAAATGGAGGAATACTACTGGGTTCAATATCCAATATCCAATTCAATGATTTCAGTTGACCTTGTCCTAGTGTGAACCATCAGCTTGAGTTCTTAGTTTCCTCCCCAGTTCAGAACAAGTTTCACATTTCTATTTCAAGCAGCTAACATGTCAGTATCCAGGCTTAAGAAGCAACTCCTAATTTGTTGTGTCAGTACTCAGAAAAGGTAGCATGTCTTCTTGGATTTCCAGAAGCCTTAATATTCAGATGTTATTAAAATTTGACACATGTCAACTTTTTTCAAAACAAACAACAAAACCAGAATTTCCTTAATTATGCTTATCTTTCTCTTACACAAATACACTCATATCTTGAATTAAGAAAATTTTGTTGTATCTTTGAAAAATTACAAAATAAAGAATAGTGAGTATATTTTCAATAATCAATCATTAATTCATTAATTCATTTCAAAAACCATATGGAGTACATAGCAAGTATAAGGCAGATTCCAGGTGCTGAGGAAATAGTGGTGAGATTTATTAAGAATGACTGCAAATATTGAGATGAGATTTGTGAGGGAAGAGTTCCGTGATTGAAGCCGTAGAAATCTTTGTACAACTACCACTTGGTAAGATGAATTCAAACATTTGTATGTGATGAAGAAAAAGATTTTAAGTTTCTTTCAACCCTATTAGTCAATGTATATGGAAATTCTTGGGCATGTGAATCTGAAATAAAAATCTACGTTTACATTTGTGTGTATGAAAATCAATCAGCAGTAGAGTTGACACATGATATAAAAAGAATGTTTTAAGATCAATTTAAAAATAATTTAAGGTTCCCTATACTACGTATTTCAGAAATAGTAGATTTGTCAAAAGGATAAGACAAAGATGACCGCTACAATGTTCTTAAGGGATGTAACATATAACACAGATTGATTAAAAATTAAAAACATATTAACCAAGAGTATTTCAGTGCTTCTATCTATGAAAATAGGTATTTAAACATTGGTTTAAACTGCAGGAATAGAAATGTAACTGTTGATTGAAATCCAAGGGCCAACACTCAGTAGCTATATAATCTTTGGTCCAGCTATATGAACTTTGGTAAATTGCTTAAGTTCTATGTGCTTGTTTTCACATTTATATGATGGAGGTAACAAAAGTATTATTACATAAAGTTTGAGAATTAAATAATTATATGTGTGTGTATAAACACACATGTATATACACACCTCTAACACACATATACAGTGCTACAAAAATGAAGAGTGCCTAGTACATCACAAGTACTCTATAGACATTAACAGATATAATCTTTTTAATTATTTCTGGCTACAGGCTAGAAAACTAAGTGGCAGAATAAAAAATATAATTAATAATAATAAAGAACACAGCACATATGAACATTAGTATTTGCCTCCTTTTTAGTACCATGTGATGTTGAGAGCCAGGCCAGTCAGAATGAAGCCTGGCATTTGCCAGAGGGAATGTTTGAAAGGTGATGCCAGCGAACCATTGAGATGATGATTTGAGTTAAGCTACATATAATTGCTGTGATGCTGGATTGATTGTATTGTATATTTGACCTTTACTGTCGGGCAATGGGGCAGCTCTTGCTGCCTTAGGCACCCGCTACTTTGGAGTTCTCGAGCTACTTTGGAGTAGCTCCAAAGAGTTCCCATTGTATGGGGGAGTGCCAGAGGAGGGATTTCCGGTGTGGGGGGTTTCTGGAAGGGCAGCATGGGTGGCATTGGTGGAAAAGTGCGCGTGCAGTGCCGGTGAGAGTTGAAATAAAGTAGTTGCTGTTTGAACCTACAAGGCTTTGTGGTGGCTCGGTTATTCATGCCCAGCCAGACTGCAGCATTTGGCGGCCTGTATGGGGAACACCTGAAGCTAGCAGATAAGTGAAATTGCTCGCCCCTGAGGGAAGGCGAGAGAATGGGTGACCATTTCAAAAAACAATGTGTTCTTGTTTTGATTTGTTTTGTTTTTGTTTCAAGCTGCCTATCCCTAGAACTTTCTAAGGCAAACTGGGAAAAATGGTTGGCTCAAGGTTTGAAGTTGTTCGGCCCTGAGGAAGAGATAGAGATAGACCACGAATATACATTTCAAAAAAAATAGGAATATTGATACAACGATTTTTTGTTCCATTCTGCTTTGGTTTTGTTTTGTGTTATCTTGTTGGGTTGTGTTATATTTATAGTAGATTAGAAATTAGTAAAAAACAAACCGAAAGAGTGTTAAGTAAATTTAGAGGTTCAGACCATTGAGAAAGACATTTTAGATCAAGTAAAAGAGAAGGTCTCTCGAGCTAGTCAGACAGAGGAAGAAAATTTAAAGGAGGAAGAACTATCAGGGGAAAAAGTTACCACAGGAGGCTGCTACTAACACCTTTCCATCACCAGAGGGCATAAGTGTCCAACCAACTGCTCCACCTATAGAGACAACATATCCTATGGGGCCCTCAACCCCCGTAGTTGATAGATGGGATCCTGAGACAGGACCTCAAAGATTAGCATGCCCTGTATTTGAGGTGGCAGGAGGGCAGCGAAATCACCATGTTTTAGATTTCAAAACAGTGAAACAGTTAAAGGAGGCTGTAACAACCTATGGTCCCCAAGCACCCTTCACTGTAAGCATGATTGAATCCATTACCAACTTGGACATGACGCCAACAGATTGGGCTAGCATATGTAAATCTGTGCTAAATGGAGGACAATATTTGTTATGGAAGGTTGCCAATGAGGAATTTTGCATGGAGACGGCTACGCAAAATGCAGCAGCCGGTTACCCTCAAAGAAATTTAGATATATTGTTAGGAAAAGGACCTTATGAGGGTCAACGGCAACAAATTGAATATGATCCTGCTATATATTCACAAATTGCTGCAGATGCAGTTAGGGCATGGAAGACTTTACAAGGACATGGAGATTTACAAGGTCAATTATCTAAGATAATACAAGGAGCTAATAAACCTTACGCTGAATTTGTAGGTAGGCTTATTCAAACAGCTACCAGAGTTTTTGGGGATACAGAGCAAGCAATGCCATTAATTAAACAGCTAGCCTTTGAGCAAGCAAACAGATGGTGCAAGGAGGCCATTAGACCATGGAAACATGAAGATTTAAACACATATATTAAATTATGTAGAGACATTAATGAACAAGGGCAAGTCTTGGCAGCTGCAGTACAACAGGCTTTAAATGCCAGGCGTCATTCTGACCGGCCGTGGCTCTCAACAATGTGAGATCCTTTGTATTTTATCTCATTCAATCTAAGCCAACATTATGAGGTAGATAGTATTATCATCATTTAATAAATCAGAGCACTAGATCTCAGAGACTATAGCCCACATACAACACCAAGCCCATGCACACAACGGCTTACACAAATCCAATATCCAAAAATGTTGCAACAGTATAACCAAGAGTCATAGTTGACACTGAACTCATCCCCCACAACATTAGCTTCTTTTGTGAGCCTTTCCCCAGCAATG